TAGAGAGATATGGAACCCAGAACAATTTCACTTGAAAATATGAGAATGACACAGGAGAGTTCAGACTGCAGCTCCAAACGTATCTGCAAAACTGTCTGAATTCCTACAATATGATATATTACCTATACATCCATATTCAACCATAATCAATGTTTTTATTTTACGCAGTCAACAAAATCAGCATGTCAGTGTAAGATAGCCAGAAACACCAAACCAATTCATCAATGTCATGTTTCTAAGCAGTTTATTTTTGTGCATGGGGTAATAGCCCACTCTATACCCAAACAAATTTGTATCACTTTTCATTCCAGGTAAATTAACTTGACTCCTGATACTTCTCTTCATAGGTATATAAGAAGCATCCTTTGTTTTAATACAGGAATTATATTTCTTGTGCTGGCCATAGTAAAAACATAGTAATATTTGAAAATTAACTTTATTCAGCAGCCAGCAGATGGAGCTATCGAAAACTGTTGCTATTACTTAAAAAAAATTTTTTTTTAATTTCTTGAAGTAAAACAAGTTTAGGTATATATATATATATATATATACACATATATATAAAATATACATATACACGTGTAAATAATGTGTTTATTGTAGAGAAATATGGAAATGCAGTTAAGATTTAAAAAGGAAAAAAATCAATCTTAATCATGCCACCAGAGAAAACTACTTTTAATGCTTTTAATACTTTTTATATATCAGTCTGAAATATGTTTATTCATATATTCATTTTACATTTATATTTTACAAAAATATAATTTTAATATGCTTTGTAATATAAATTTAATATAGTGAAATATATATTTATAATGTTTTATAGTCTGCCTTCTCTCCTTGAAAAAATCAGATGTATTTGCTTATATAGAAATCTCCAGGGATAACATTTAAAATATTTGCAGTGGCACAGGACAGGCAAGGACCAATCAGAATAGATACAGGCTGTAGCTTGAGCAGGATGCTGTATGTTCCCTGCTGTGCCAGGCATTCACCCTTTAATTGAAGGATGACAAGCAAGGTATGTAGGGAGACAGGGAGTGGCTGGAGTGCCCAAAGAGGAAGGAGAGTACTCAAGGGGTCAGGAAGTGACCATATAAAAACATTATAGAAGTATTTTATTATTTTAAAAACACAGCCACACCAATGCATAGCTTCTGAACTATCAGCTCTAAAACATTTGGAAGAATATACAGTCCCCAACCAATGATAGTTCGACTTAGGATTTGAGTTTGAATCTTCTCTCAGGCTAGTGATATGGGGTATGATACCCTTTCGTGATGCTGGAATATGGAAGCAAGCTACAGCCACGAGATCATACTGGTTAACAACCAGCATACTTACAACCATTCTAGACCCATACAACCATCCTGTTTTTCTCTTTCAGTACAGTATTTAACAAATTACATGAGATATTCAACACTTTAATATAAAACAGACCTTGTGTTAGACTATTTTGCCCAACTGTAGGCTAATGTAAGTGTTCTGAACACACTTAAGGTAGGCTAAGCTGTGATGTTTGCTAGGTTAAGGTGTATTAAATGCATTTTTGACTTACGGTATTTTCAAGTTATGATGGGTTTATTGGGACATAACTCCATCGTAAATTGAGGAAGATCTGAACAAGGATACACAAACTTAGGGGACTCCTAGGAGGTGTGGCTTAGGAACAACAGTGGCAGAGAAGTTTTTTACTATAATCTCTTTGGTACCAAGATTATGTATTTAATATTAAAAATGATGTTTAAATAAAATATCATGAATAACTTTCAAGTGAATAAATACACACTTATATTTATAGTGACTATATACTACTATTTCATTCTGTAGTTATATCATAATTTACTTAATGAACCTCTATTGTTGAACTGTCCAATAATGAATCACTACATAAAATATGTTTAAATCCATCAGTTCATAATAAATTTTTTAAGAAAAAACCCTAAGTCACTGTTGGAGATTGCTAATGAACTAACTCATTATTTTGAAACCTGGCAAATAAGGAGAAATAATCCATCATTTATCCTGCCAAGGAATAATCAAATAGTTTTCTGTGAACAGAAGTAGTCCAGCTGATAAATGAAGAGAGAATGATACAACTAGAATATCATCATTTTTTAAACCCTAATGAAAATAATAGATCCAGACATTGAACACAAATACTTGCTAACATTACACAGAGGGACAACTGAATATTAGATGCTCCCTGATGGAAGAACATAGCAGCACCTATGCAGTAACATTGCCGAAATAATCTAACCTGAATCTGATCAAGCCTCTAGAAGCAAGTACCAATATATAAGAAATATGGAGGACATGTCCTGGTTTCTTAAATAAATTCTAAGAGTCAACATCAGAACCAAAGGAAACAAAAGCAAAAATAAACAAGTGGGACTACAACAAACCAAAAAGCTTCTGCACAGCAAAGGGATCCATTAACAAAATGAAAAGGCAACCTACTGAATGAGACAAAATGTTTGCAAATCATGCATCTGATAAGGAATTAGTATCTGAAAAATATAACAACTCATATAACTCAGTAGCAAAATAACAATCTGATTTAAAAATAAACAGGGGACCTGAATAGACATTTTTCCAAAGAAAACATACAGATAGGCAACAGGTATGTGAAAAGATGCTCAACATCCCTAATCATCAAGTAAATTCAAATCAAAAACATGATGAGATAACACCTCACACCTGTTAGAATGGATATCAAAAATATAAGAAATAATGTGTTGGCAAGGATGAAAGGATGGAGAAAAGGGAACCCTTGTGCACTGCTGGTGGGAATGTAAATTGGTACAGCCACTATGGAAAAAAATATGGAGGTCCCTCAAAAAATTAAAAATAGAACCATCATATGGTTCAGCAATTCCATTCCTGGGTATTTATCTGAAGAAAACTAAAACACTAACTCAAAAAGATGTATGCACCCCCATGTTCATTGCAGCATTATTTACAACAGCCAAGATATGGAAGCAACCTCAGTGTCCATCAGTAGATAAATGGGTAAACAAGATGTGGTTCATACATATACAATGAAATATTATTCAGTCATAAAAAGAATGAAATCTTGCCAATTGCAACAACATGCATGAACCCTGACAGAATTATGCTAAGAAAAATAAGCCAGAGAGAAAAAGACAAATACCATATGACCTCACTTATACATGAAATCTAAACCAAAACAAAACAAGCTCATAGACACGAAGAACAGATTGATGGTTGCCAGAGGTGGGAGCTGGGTGAAATGGTAAAGGGGCCAAGCATATAAACTTCCAGTTACAAAATAAGTCATGAGGATTTAATGTATAGTTGATAATACTGTACTGCATATTTGAAAGTTGCTGAGAGTAAATCTTAGAAGTTTTCATCATAAGAAAAAAAATTCTGTAACTATGTATGGTGACAGATGTTAACTGAACTTATTATGGTGATCATTTTACAATAAATACAAACATGGAATCATTATGTTGAACACCAGAAACTAATATAATGCTATATGACACTTATACCTCAATAAAAATAAAAACTGAAAAAATAAATTCCAAGGGGGAATAAATGAGAGATGGAAAGGAAATCTAAACACTAAAAGGGGTTAACTGATCAGCCAGTTGCAATAGGTGGACCTACTTGGATCCTGATTCAAGAAAATAAACTGTAAAAAATAATTACATTTATGAGAAATTTGGAAATTAGAATACTAGATATTTAATTATATCATTGCTTAATTTTTAGATGTAATAAAATAATAGTATAATGGTTATGCTAAAACAAATTTACTGATATGAAGTATTCTGTTTCTTGGTCAGGTATTAGTGTGTCTGGTTTGTAAAAATTTGATGAATAGCACTAGATTTAAAAATAGGCCAAAGACCTTAACAGACAGCCTACCAAAGAAGATATGGCAAATAAGCATATGAAAAAATACTCTACCCCTTATGTCATCAAGGAAATGCAAATTAAAATAACAGTGAGATACCACTACACATCTATTACAATGGTCAAAATCCGAAACACTTACAACACCAAATGCTGAAAACATTGTGCAGCAACAGGAACTCTCATTCATTGCTGGTGGGGATGCAAAAATGGTATGGCCACTTTGTAAGACAGTTTGGCAGTTTCTTACAAAACTAAACATTCTTACCATGTGATCTAGCAATCACATTGCTCCTTGGTATTTACCCAAGGGAGTTGAAAACTGAGGTCCATATAAAAACCTGCACATAATGTTTATAGCAGCCTTATTCATAATTGCCAAAACCAGGAAGCAATCAAGATGTTCATCAGTAAGTAAATGGATAAATAAACTGTGATGCATCCAGATAACAGATTATTATTTGGTGCCAAAAAGAAATCATCTATCAAGTCATGAAAAACATGGTGGAAACTTAAATGCATACTACTAAATGAAAGTAGCCAATCTGAAAATGCTACATACTGTATGATTCCAATTATATGACATTCTGGACAAGGCAAAAGTATGGTGACAGTAAAAAGATCAGTGGTTGGGGTGGTTAGTGAGGAGAAATAGGTGGAGCACAGAGGATTTTTAGGGCTGTGAAAAATACTCTGTATTATACCGTAAGGATGGATATATGTCAGTATATCCATAGAGTGTACAACACCAAGAATGAACTCTAATGCAAACTACAGGTTTTGATATGTCAATGTGGGCTTATCAATTGTAATAATTATATCACTCTGGTAGGGGATAATGACAATGGGGGAAGCAATGCATGTGTAGGGGCAAGGATTACATGGGAAGTCTCTATAACTCCTCTGAATTTTGCTCTAAACCTAAAATGTCTCTAAAAATAATCTTTATTAAAAAATTTATAATAGCCTATAATGATAAAGACTATGAAAAGGAATATATATATACATATATAACTGAATCACCAAGCTGTACTAACTTGGTGATTCTAACAGAAACTAACACACAACATTGTAAGTCAACCATACGTCAATTTAAAAACAAATAAATGAAAAAAGTGCTTGCTTCGGCAGCACATATACTAAAATTGGAAAGATACAGAGAAGATTGGCATGGCCCTTGTACAAGGATGACACACATGGATTTAAAAAAAAGAAAAATTAGATAAATAGCACTGTGTATATATATTATGCATCAATATAAAGTTAAAATATAAATGCAAATAAATAACAATGACATAAAATGATTTTTTAGAAAAAAATAAATAATGATATTTAGAATTAGTTTCAACATAATACAGAAGGGAGAAAAAATGGATGGAGTATGTATGAAACAAGACTGACCCCAAGCTGAAAATTGTTGAAGCTGGATGATGGACACAAGACAGTTCATTACACTCTTCTGTCCACTTTTGTATATATATAAAATATTCTAGAATAACGTGTTTTTAAGTGTCCAGACTTTAAAATTTTGGCACATATTGCCAAACTGCTCTCCAGAAAAATTGTTCCAATTTTTACCTTACCAGTGGTGTAAATCAACATCCATACATACCAGTATTAATGTAATTTTATAAAAACAAAACTAGAGATAATGACATCAGTGAATATCTTAATTCATACATCAATTCGTTTGAGTTTTTGCTTTGTACAGTGTTATGAAGTCCTGCCCATGAGTATTTTGCAGTTAAATCTTTGATCGTTTGGCTGTCACAGGTCTGTCCCAGGCTCCCTTTGGGCTCTACCAGGGAAAGGGTATCAGTCAGTGTGAACTGACCCATTCTATCCCTTGGCATTAGTAAGGGAGACTCCCCAGCTCCCTCTCCTTATCAGATAAATACAAAAGTGACTTTGTTTCAGGGATTTTCCTGGTAATAATTATAAGGAAAACAGAATTAACAAAGGGACCACTCTATAGGTTTCATTTACACAGTGTCACAGTGATGTCCCTTGGTGTGTGTAGTTACAGTGTCCCTTCTGCAATCGCCACAGATTAGCTCAGTCCTGTCCTATTTCCACTTACAGATCTAGGCTGTAGGTGGGCAGGGCTCATTTTTCCCCAAAGGCTCTTTTGCCCAACACAGGTATCAGAAGAAGGAATTTCCCCAGAGTAACTGAGGATGATTCCAAAGTGAAATGTTTCCCAGCAAAGGACTGGAAAAAAGCAAGCTGCAAGAACATGTGTAGAGGATGATTCCATTCTGTGAAAAGAAGGGGCAGAAAGAAAAGCAGCAGCAAGGGGGAAACCCCATATATGTGTGTATATATGTGGACAAACAGGGAGAATGTTGTGAAAGGAGATATTCTGTGATATTAACATTGGTTACCTCAGAGGATTTGGGCAAAGTGAGGGCTGGAGGATAGATGATTAGCATTTTTGTTATGTATCTCTGTATTTTTTTCAAGTATTTGTTTGTTTAATTGAAGTATACTTGATTTACACTGTTGTATGTTATACTATTAATATATATATTCTTTTCCATTATGATTTATTACAAGATACTGAATATAGTCCCCTGTGCTATACAGTAGGACCTTGTTGTTTATCTACATTATATATAGTAGTTTGTATTTGCTAATCCCAAACTCCTAATTTATCCCTCCCCCACCCCCTTTCCCCTTTAGTAACCATAAGTTTGTTTTCTGTGTTTGTGAGTTTTTTTCTGTTTTGTAAATAAGTTCATTTGTGTCATATTTTTTAGATTCCACATGTAAGTGATATACACGTACACCTGTGTACTTTTCACTTGTTACAGTGAATATATATTATGTACATTTTTTACATGTTCAATTACATTTTATGGCATTTTTTATAGTGATCAAACAAAAATTTTATAATTTTTACGTGAACACATTCAAATCCTCCTTAAGTTAAATTTATCACATATTCTCTGCAAGATACACTTCTCCTATAAGTTTAGAGCCAACATAGTTATGCTTAAGTATCTGGCTCTGGCTCTTATTAGCTCTATGACCTTGAGCAAGTAACAGTTATGAAACCCTTCAGAGTCTCAGTTTTTTGGTTTGTAAAATAGGGATGACAATAGCACCTACTTCATAGGATTGTTCAGGAAATTCAATGAGTCAGTTATGTAATGTATTTAGAATAGTGTCTGGCACAGAGTAAGTACTATGTTAGCTACTTTTAAGCTCTCTGGGTTGAGAACCCATCATTTATGAATGTAGATTACTGTACAAAAGCTGAGGCTTTTGAAATAAATTATTATTTATTGCCATAGTACTAAAAATATCCATAGACATATATTTGAACAAAAGCACATTAAACTGCTAGGTTTACCAGATTCTTCACAACCAGGCAAAAGACACTGCCCACGGACTATTTTCCCTCCATAAATAAACAGGTCTTCTCTCTTTCAGACAATGTCCTGAGGAGCATGGCTTCTCTCTTCTTCAGCCCTCACCTCTTCACCAAGACTCTTTCTCCATCTGCCCCTTGCTTGTTCTATGGCATTCCTCACTCTCAACAACAGTGTCAACTACCACTGTCCCCTTCCCTAAAGCCCCCTTCTGGGGCACTTCACTATGTGTGTCCTCTATTCCTTGTACTGTGCAGTTCTCAAATAACAACATAACTCAAAGACTATTCTATGTCAATACAGAAAGAACTTCCTTATTCTTTTTTCTGCTACATAATATTCCAATAAGTGTAGTAAGTCCTCAATTGATGGACATTAATTTGTTTCTAAATTTTTCTTTTCTTTTGCTAACTCTACATTTTTTCCTTTAATTTTTTTAAATTGAAGTATAGTTGATAGACACCTAATCTTTTCTTCTTAATGTCAAGACTTGGTTTGAGTTTCTTGTTTTTCTCATTTTATATTTTTCCCCTGGAGCATCTCATTCAATTACAGCTTTACTGATCATTAGGCACTAGGCAGCTGACAAACAAGTTATCTCCTCCTGCCTTCTTTCCTGAACTTAAGTCATACATTCCCAACTGCCTACTAGGAATCTCCTTTAGAAGAATCCACTCCTTCAAACTAAGCATATCTAAAATTGAAAATAATCCTCCCCTCCCACGCCATCCTGCCTTGTGTTAATTTTATTTGGGATGCATAGCATTTATTCACAATTCTCCTCACTTACATGCACATACCCGTGGTGCCGTTGCCATGGTTGTGATGTTTTGTTATTCAGTCTACAACCAACTACCATCCCACAAACAAAAAATAGAGTTGTACAGTTGGATGGTTGGATGGAGATATCCAAGAGATCATTGGATGGAATGTGTGAGCATTTAACGTTGAAATGCCATTTGAGGTATACCCTCCATGTTATCACTGAGAACCTTCAGAAAATGTTCTTATAAAGTTCCATGTGGATCATTTTTAGAGACCTAGCCAACCTGAGGAAATCAAAATCAATTGGTAACAAGAGTGAGGTTTCTGAAACTGGAACAGCCTGTTAATTTAGCATAGACAACCTCAATGCCAACAGCAAGAGGGAATCTCCTTGTCTTCAGGTCTAAGGCATGACACCAATAATATGTAATGTTACAACTCTACATCTCTTCCCCTTGGCCCTACCAAATAAAGACAATGCTTGTTCAGGAGAAGATGATAGTCACAGCACCAGAATGTTACAAGAAAGTAAACGAGTGCAAGAACCCTAGAATGAACTGCATCAGAAGCACCAGCAGCATCTTGCCAAGGAAAAACATTGAGGCAGCACAGAAATAAGGTAAATATCGATGCAGGAGTCAAATGAGAGCAGAAAGATGCTGGATAAAAGAGAGTGCTAGGAGCCTAGCACTTTCTAAGTTTTTAATTACATACATGCCTTTATTATAAATGATTGTCTAATTTTTCATCTTCCACAAATTAGTTTAAACACTTTGGGTGAGGATTTTAGTTTCCAGAGAGAATCCTGTATTGGACTATCTATGGCTTAGTGGAATGTAAAAACCAGGGTTTATCTTCCAGTTTAAAATAAAAGTCAGGAAGGATTCCACAAAAGAACCAGACATTTCGAGAAATTTCTGGGAAGATATAAAGCTGATAAGATTGACTAAATAGAGTTAATAAACCATCCAGTAAACTACACATATTTAAAGTATACAATTTGGATGTTTTAACATACATATTTCAGTAATTCCTGATTAGAAGCATAAAAGGCATCATGCATAGAATTAATAAAAATTTGTAGGGGTGGAGAGAGGATATAGCTCAAGCACTAGAGTACATGCTTAGCATGCACAAGGTCCTGGGTTTAATCCCCAGTACCTCCTATAAAAATAAATAAATAAATAAGTAAACCTAATAACATCCCCCACAAAAAAATTTTTTTATAAAGAAAGAAGTCCCCCAAAGTAGCTTTCTACAGGAAGTGCTTTGATAACTCAAAAAAAAAGTATTGCTAAAAAAATAAATTGTGGGAATCAATTACATTCCATGAAATAAAACTATACAGTATTTTACTTCATAAATTCTTTCACCCAAACCCCTGAAATTTCCTTTTCTAGATATAAAAATTACCAAATGCAGATTTTCTTTACAAATAGGATAAAAATCATATGGCTTTGTAGCAAAACAGTTTTATTTTAAGAAAAGCTTCTTTAGGGTTCAGTGAAGAGAATTGCTTACTTCTTCCATTTTTGGGTATCATTTTATTTGTGTGAAGTCTGGTATGCCACATCCATTCTTAGTTTTGGTTTTTCTGTGAAGACTGACAGAAAGATGAGTGGGGGCAATAATGAACATCACCAGAGAATGTACTTGTTAGAAGATGTAATGGCAGGCAGACTAAGGCCTGGACCAGCTGGAGAAACTGGATGGCCCCTGCCTTGGCCTCATTACACCTGTATCTTTACTACCTTCCCTGCTGTTACCCCTGCTAGGGAAAAACTTTTCTGTTTAGGATTTACTCACACTGTCATTTTCAGGAACAAGTGCACTTAGCACCATAAGGAAATACATTGTTTTCTTATTTACAAAATGCCTCCTAGTATCATTTTGGGGGTGGGTGGGCAACACAAGTCAGGCAAGATAAATGAACTGGGGTTTGGCTTAAGACCTGTTGTGAATTGTCTATAGTTTATTTTCAAATAGTTCAGCATAAACAATGTGATATCATTGTGTGTGTATTAGTTTAAGTCAACATTATAAGGGTTAGTGTGTACCCTACTCAGGAATATATATATTTTAG